TCATTCATATTATTATCATTATTATTATTGTTATTATTATTTTATCATGAATTATAAGTGTAAAAAAAAAATGTGGCACTACTGCAGTAGTGCCCTTTGAACTTCTTTTCTGATCTGTTGAGTCAGGTCAAGCTGTAGCTCCCACGGGGTCGATGAACGCTAAGTAAACCAATTGGTTTGCTCTAAAATGCTGGTAATTTGTAAGGTATTTCTTACTATTTTCCATCATTGTGGTACTATATATCATCATTTGTGTGCAGGATAGATGATATAAATGGTGGTATACTATTCATAGTCTTATCATTTACAATAAGTTATCAAATGGCATTTCTATGTATTTCTAAGGTATTTCATGTATTTCATGGTCTTTTGTACCTTTGTAGTACTATCTATAATCATGGCTAATCTTCGATGCCGTAGATAATGTTAGATCCCAATCCTAGAAGATTCGCTACTCTTCGATCCCGCAGACAATAATCATTTTCTCGAGGCTCTGCAGGAACAACGTACAGTCCGGACATGTTCTCGTTGCGCTGGGTTTCGCAATCGATGGATGATATTTATGCTTAATATATGGTTAAGGTATGGTTTTTGATGGTTAATAGTGGGTGATCATGGGTTTCCATACATGGGGATACCCCAATGGATAGCCGCATAGGAAACCTCCAAATGCTTGTGTCTAAAAGGGGCTCACCCCGCCTATGGAGTGACTCATAACCTGTGTTGGCTTGATGATTTCCGCAGCAACCAAAAGCCATCAGAACGCGCTTTTAGCCACGCTTTTAGGATGTGTGTTGGCAATGGTCCAAGGGCAGGGTCGTTCATATTGAACACCCCTCAGGCTGATTTAACAGCGGATGAAACCATATTGAAATCACATATTTGGGATCAGGGTGTTTAATATGAAAGGGCATGAGATTAAATTTGCTGGCCCTTTTGAAAACCGATCTCACCCAGATCGCATCACCTAGACGATGGATGGTGGCCATGGGCACCTGCGGAGGTACAGCAAAAACCTGGCGCCTAACATTTAGCCAAGTTGGTTTTTGATCAACATCACTATAGGGTCTTAGCTAGATACATCTATCAATAATGGTGCCGATAAACCAACTTGTGACCAGGAGTTTCCACGTTCAGGTTCCTGCTGCAAAGATGGCGATACGAGGTGTGGTTCATTCGGATGGCACGGGTCAAAGTTGACGCATCTGGGGAGCACGGGTCAAGCGATCGCAGTTCACGTATCACTGCTAATCGTAACTGGCTACATTCAATATCCACAATCCAGCTATTTCATGATATTTCAATGATCAACAACAAAAGTGATCCATAATTTAGCCTAGTTGTAGACTAGTTGTAGACGCCTTAGTTCTACGTGGCTCACAATCCGCTTCGATGCCCCTCATGGGCCAACGGCCGCAGATGCAAAGATACCTGGAAGAACACGAGGTGAACACAGCCGCTCCAGATTCAGGGTTTGTTGGTGCGTGGGGGGGGGTTCTCCAGATGGAGATTCCCAAAATGGATGTTATACAGTGGAACACCCTATTGAAAAAGGATGGTTCAGGGGTACCTCCACTTTAGAAAGCCCCCATATAGGGAAACCATCAACAAAAAATGGAACATAATACGGACCCTTGTGCATGGTTTCATGGATTTGCAACGATGATAATCGCGTACTGCAATGAGATATGTCGTATTTATTCAATGATTTCAATGCGAAAAATAGAATGTTGATAGGTCTAAGATACTCCGGGATACTCCAACAGGTTTTGTTGATGGAAAACATGTGGTTTTCAACTATGACATGGACCATGGGGTACTCTTTGCAGCAGCTCAGCCTTTTTGAACATCCTGAATTGGAGAAGCTCATCCACAGCGATCGCTGGGATGAAGATGTTCTTTCCAGAGCCGAGCAACTGCTCCAAGAGCTGCCCGATGACGTTCTCTCAGGGTATCGAAGATCCCGCGTCATATCTGGTGACTTGAACCAGAACGACGCGCGCTCCAGGCAGAGCATGGATGACATTCTCCAGAGCCAAGTTCTCACCACTTTGGAGGCAGCGGGCCAAAACGATGAAGTCTGCACCAGGATGTGGAAACACATTGAGAAGTTAGCCTTGGAAGGCAACGTTGCTCTTGAGGTTCACCAGAGGAGACGGGCGTGTCCATGAACGGGCCGCCCAAGATGGTTTGCGCGGCTTGGCAGGTGAATCAGAGGTTGATGCCTCTACAATGGCCTCAGGAGTTCCAAACGCCCTCATGAGAAATTCTACCTCTTCGTTGGAGGCTTGCGCCCCGTTTGTCCACATAAAGCACAAGGACCGAGAGCTTTTCCCTTGGGCGGAGGGAGCGAGACAAGTCTTGAAAGACTTCCTCAGTTCTGGTCCAATTGACACATCATGGCAACACCCAGGGGTGACATTCGCTCACGGCTCGGCCGAGTGGATTGATCAAGTGGTTGAGAATGTCTCGCCTTGCAAGCGGGAGGAGATGATTTCAATTTGAAGGAACTGGATATGTCACCAGCAAAACGCAAAAGGGGTTTATCGGCAAAAATCAGAATTTTAAGTTTCAGAACCCCAACCAAACAAGGAATAACTATATAATACTATATATATATATATGATATAATATTTATAGACGTATACATATTTATGTAGTATACATATATATATATGGAAATAAAATCCCAAAAAAATGGAATCTCACAACTAAACCTGTCCTTGTCCTTGTTCGGGATATTGTGCGTTGTCCATCTCACCAAGTGGGTTGTGTTTTTCCGCAACTCGGGGATCAAGGAATCAAAATTTGGGCCAACTGATCCTGAAAATGGTTTAATGTGGTTAAAACAAAAATAAACTACCCATTTGGGAATGGTTTACACCACCTAATTATGGTGATTAGGAGGATGGTGTATTATGTTTTAACCACATTACTAGTTTACAAACAGTACGGGTATTACAGTATTGGTATTGGATATATTCATTGTGGGTCCCTTGTCACGAGTTATTTAATATGTTTGAAGGATGGGACTGTGTAAGATTCCCATGACATGTTCCCATTTGTGGTGGGTTGTTGGTAAATCTCCAATTTTGTCAGTTAAATCCCCTATCTGGGGTGGGAAGGGACGAAATTATTATGGTAAACCCAATGCAATGATCCGATTGACCAACCATTTGGAGGCACTAGTTTGTCATTGGGCTTACCACATTACCCATGAAACACATATCTGTACTTAGAAACTGAAACAACTATATAAGTCAGTTTCTAAACCTACCAATTATAGTTGTATCTCCACAAACCCATAAACCCAACTGTTGACCAAATCATATCCCAACTTAGCAAAGGTTTTGGGGGCCCATCTTGTTTCGTGCTTGGGGTTAGCTCACTGGCGCTATGAACAAACATATGCTAGATACTACGATATCTATAACATGCCAAAACAATTTGTATTTCTTTGTCCCGAATCTACGTTGTGGTTGTTGGTCAATAATCCATAATAATCCCCATTAAATAGGTCATTATCCACTGCAAAGTAACCTCTTATTGGATCTGACAGAACCATGATATCCTTTTCTGGAAGTGCAGTTCCAGTTATCAGTGGATGACCATAGTAATAGGGCCTATATACCAACCTCTCAAGTTATGTCAAGGTTAATATATTTTATCAACATATATACTTATAATATTATATATATACATTGTTTATTATACTATATCTATTATATTAAATGTATATAGTATGTATCTATACATGTATGTATAAATATGTACATATAAATAGATATATAGATTTATATATTATATATATATTCGATCATTTGTATATTTTATATGTTATATATATGTGGGTAAGCTCAACTGCACCCCCAAGTAAGCCCAGTTCACGGCAAGGCTCCAGAAACCTGTTGAGGAACCTTCCAGGCCTTTGGGTGCAAGGTGAGCCAGCCATTTACGATAAGTTGGCTTTTAATGGTGATGTCATGGTGATTGAATGGTGTCTTAATGGTGATTTACTGGGATGTGGTGGGATTTGGTTGGCCACGTTGGTTTTTAACTAGCTTAACGCTTGCTTTCGTAAAATGATGTGGATCCCAAGCCAAAAAATTACCGTGGACACAAAGTTGGATGATTTGGTGGATATCCCCATGAGTTAGGAAAGCTCATAACTAACTAGGGTTTATGGTAATTATCATCAAAGGAAGTTGGGAAGCAATACTTCCGTGTTACGGAAAAATAGAATTCTGAGACTTGAAATGATGAAGGGTGGTGCGCGACTGAGACTTGACCTTGATGAAGGGTGGTGTGAGACTTTACATTACATAACAATACATAACAAAAGGATTGACCTTGATGAAGGGTGGTGTGAGACTTTACATAACAATACATCAGAAAAGAATTGACCTTGATGAAGGGTGGTGTGAGACATTACATTGCATAACAATACATCACAAAAGGATTGACCTTGATGAAGGGTGGTGTGAGACTTTACATTACATAACAATACATCAGAAAAAAATTGACCTTGATGAAGGGTGGTGTGAGACATTACATTACATTACAATACATCACAAAAGGACTGACCTTGATGAAGGGTGGTGTGAGACGCATTGTAATGGCTGCATGAATGTTGCATGGGCTATGTTTTGGGGAGGAAGCCGGAGCACGAAACCGTGTGTTTTTCCGTGTAAAGTGGCTGCAGGCGACGATGAAAGGTACCTCGTGTGTGCGACGGGTGCGGCTGGGGTCGGTTGGTCGTTTTTTTTTGCCGCAGTGTAACGGTGGCTTGAAGCTGCTTTGGGTGTGCTTGTGTGTGCGTAGTTATAGGGTGTTTTGGAATCTGTGCTTGCAGATCGCATTGGAATGGCTGCATGATGTTGCAAGGGTCTGTTTTTGGGAGGAAGCCGGAGCACGAAACCTTGTGTTTTTCCGTGTAAAGTGGCTGCAGCCGGCGATGAAAGGTACCTCGTCTGTGCGGCGGGTGCGGCTGGGGTCGTTTCTGTCGCGAATTGTTCCTCCTATGTGTTTTGCAACCAGTGGTTGTTCCTGCGTGCGTAGTTCTATGCGGTTCTTGAAGCTGTGGTTGCAGATCGCATTGGAATGGCTGCATGCATGTTTCATGGGCTATGTTTTGGGGAGGAAGCCGGAGCACGAAACCTTGTGTTTTTCCGTGTAAAGTGGCTGCAGCCGGCGATGAAAGGTACCTCGTCTGTGCGGCGGTTGCGGCTGGGGTCGTTCCGGACGCGATTGGTTCCTTCTATGTGTTTTGCAACAAGTGGTTGTTCCTGTGGTGTAGTTCTATGCGTTTCCTGAAGCTGTGGTTGCAGATCGCATTGTAATGGCTGCATGAATGTTGCATGGGCTATGTTTTGGGGAGGAAGCCGGAGCAGGAAACCTTGTGTTTTTCCGTGTGTGCGACATTGTGCGACGGGTGCGGCTGCGGTCGTTCCGGACGCGATTGGTTATTTCTATGTGTTTTGCAACAGGTGGTTGTTCCTGTGGTGTAGTTCTATGCGTTTCCTGAAGCTGTGGTTGCAGATCGCATTGTAATGGCTGCGTGGATGTTGCATGGGCTATGTTTTGGGGAGGAAGCCGGAGCACGACACCTTGTGTGCTCAACGTTGCTCGGTGCCGCGGCTGCATGCGTAATACATCGTAATACTATTGTCTTTTGCAACTGAACATCGTAAATTGTAAGTGGCTGCATCCAGGCTGCGATAGTGATTTGTCATGAGATTTTCGCAATTGTGATATAGCAATTTTCCTTTTAAAAATCCTTTTAAAAAGTGCTTCAAAATCGTGTTTTTTCTGCTTTGGCGTCGAAATCCGGTTTTGGAGCTGCAATTTCCGATACTGTTGCGCGTAGTTCTATTGTGTTTTGCAACTCAGCGTCTGCAGATCGCATTGTAGTGGCTGCGTCAAGGTGGCTCGGTGCCGCGGCTGCATGCGTAATACTATTGTCTTTTGCAGCTGAACATCGTAAATCGTATTGGAGTGGCTGCATCCAGGCTGCGATAGTGATTTGTCATGAGATTTTCGCAATTTTGGTATAGCAATTTTCCTTTAAAAATCCTTTTAAAAAGTGCTTCAAAATCGTGTTTTTTCTGCTTTGGCGTCGAAATCCGGTTTTGGAGCTGCAATTTCCGATACTGTTGCGCGTAGTTCTATTGTGTTTTGCAACTCAGTGTCTGCAGATCGCATTGTAATGGCTGCGTCAAGGTTGCTCGGTGCCGCGGCTGCATGCGTAATACTATTGTCTTTTGCAACTGAACATCGTAAATCGTATTGGAGTGGCTGCATCCAGGCTGCGATAGTGATTTGTCAGCAGATTTTCTCAATTTTGGCGCTAATAATTTTCCTGTTTTAATTCCTTTTAAAAAGTGCTTCAAAATCGTCTTTTTGTCGCTTTGGCGTCGAGATCCGGTTTTGGAGCTGCAATTCCTGTTGTGATTATGTACTGTGTGTGAAAGCTTGCTGTGTGTAAAAGCTTCTCTGTGTAAAAGCTTGTTGTGTATAAAAGCTTCTCTGTTTAAAAAGCTTGCTGTGTGTGTAAACGCTTGCCATGTGTAAAAGCACTGTGTGTAAGTGTTCTGTGTGTAAACGCTTGCTGTGTGTGAAAGCTTGCTGTGTGAAAAAGATTTTGTGTGTAAAAGCTTGCTGGGTGTGAAAGCTTGCTGTGTAAAGCTTTTCTGTGTAAAAGCTTGTTGTGTGTAAAAGCTTCTCTGTTTAAAAAGCTTGCTGTGTGTGTGTGTAAACGCTTGCCATGTGTAAAAGCACTGTGTGTAAGTGTTCTGTGTGTAAACGCTTGCTGTGTTTGAAAGCTTGCTGTGTGAAAAAGATTTTGCGTGTAAAAGCTTGCTGTGTGTAAAAAAAGCCTCTCTGTGTGTAAAAGCGTCTCTGTGCAAAAGTTTCTGTGTGTAAACGCTTGCCATGTGTAAAAGCACTGTGTGTAAGTGTTCTGTGTGTAAACGCTTGCTGTGTTTGAAAGCTTGCTGTGTGTAAAAGCTTCTCTGTGAAGAAGCTTGCTGTGTGTGAAAGCTTGCTGTGTAAAGCTTCTCTGTGTAAAAGCTTGTTGTGTGTAAAAGCTTCTCTGTTTAAAAAGCTTGCTGTGTGTGTAAACGCTTGCCATGTGTAAAAGCACTGTGTGTAAGTGTTCTGTGTGTAAACGCTTGCTGTGTTTGAAAGCTTGCTGTGTGAAAAAGATTTTGCGTGTAAAAGCTTGCTGTGTGTAAAAGCCTCTCTGTGTGTAAAAGCGTCTCTGTGCAAAAGTTTTTGTGTGTAAACGCTTGCCATGTGTAAAAGCACTGTGTGTAAGTGTTCTGTGTGTAAACGCTTGCTGTGTGTGAAAGCTTCTCTGTGAAGAAGCTTGTTGTGTGTAAAAGCTTCTGTGTGTAAAAGCTTCTTTGCTTGGAAAGCTTGCTGTGTGTAAAAGCTTCTCTGCGAAAGAACTTGATGTGTGTAGAAGCTTTGTAGTACAAAGTAGTACTGGAACGTGTTTTGTGCAAGCTTTGTAGTACAAAGTAGTACTGGAACGTGTTTTGTGCAAGCTTTGTAGTACACAGTAGTACTGGGAAGTGCTTTGTGCAAGCTCTGTAGTACAAAGTAGTACTGGAAGGTGTTTTGTGCAAGCTTTGTAGTACAAAGTAGTACTGGAACGTGTTTTGTGCAAGCTTTGTAGTACAAAATAATACTGGGAAGTAGTTTGTGCAAGCTTTGTAGTACAAAGTAGTACTGGGGAGTGCTTTGTGCAAGCTTTGTAGTACAAAGTAGTACTGGGAAGTGCTTTGTGCAAGCTTTGTAGTACAAAGTAGTACTGGGAAGTGCTTTGTGCGAGCTTTGTAGTACACAGTAGTACTGGAAAGTGCTTTGTGCAAGCTTTGTAGTACACAGTAGTACTGGGAACGACTTTGTGCAAGCTTTGTAGTAAAAAGTAGTACTGGGAAGTGCTTTGTGCAAGCTTTGTAGTACACGGTAGTACTGGGAAGTGATTCGTGCAAGCTTTGTAGTACACAGTAGTACTGGGAAGTGCTTTGTGCAAGCTTTGTAGTACAAAGTAGTACTGGGAAGTGCTTTGTGCAAGCTTTGTGGTACAAAGTAGTACTGGGAAGTATTTTGTGCAAGCTTTGTAATACAAAGTAGTACTGGGAAGTGCTTTGTGCAAGCTTTGTAGTACAAAGTAGTACTGGGAAGTAGTTTGTGCAAGCTTTGTAGTACACAGTAGTACTGGGAAGTAGTTTGTGCAAGTTTTGTAGTACAAAGTAGTACTGGGAAGTGTTTTGTGCAAGCTTTGTAGTACAAAGTAGTACTGGAACGTGTTTTGTGCAAGCTTTGTAGTACAAAGTAGTCCTGGGAAGTAGTTTGTGCAAGCTTTGTAGTACACAGTAGTACTGGGAAGTGCTTTGTGCAAGCTTTGTTGTACAAAGTAGTACTGGGAAGTGTTTTGTGCAAGCTTTGTAGTACAAAGTAGTACTGGAACGTGTTTTGTGCAAGCTTTGTAGTACAAAGTAGTACTGGGAAGTACTTGACATAGTAAAACTACATGAAAATATCCCAGAAGAACTTAGCGGACATATGGGAAGACATGGAATTAGATGAGAAGAGCTCAGATGAGATGAGTTGAGATGAAGTGCAAGTGTGAAGTGTGGAGTGTGGGGTGTGAAGAGTGCAATGTGAAGTGTGAGGAAAGTGTTTGCATTGTACCGGGGTCGCGCGCAGGTCATGTTCTTGGACAGCAACACTGCAACAGCTTCGCACAAAGCACGCACGCACGGGCCTGGCTGGCGCACGGCGCATGCAAGTTCCTTAGTAGAAGTACTGGGAAGTGATTCATGAAAGCTTAGATGACATATGAGAAGAGATGAGATGAGAAGAGATGAGCTGGGATAAGGTGAGAAGAGCTCAGATGAGATGAAGTGTGAAGAGTGAAGTGTGGGGCGTGAAGTGTGAAGTGTGGAGTGTGAAGCGTGAAGTGCGAAGTGGAGCTTCAAATGTGACATGTGAAACAGGACACCACTTTCGCAGAGTGCACGCACGCACGGGCTTGGCTGGCGCACGGCGCATGCAAGTTCTATAGATGAGAAAGGTCTTATATATATCTTTAAGGCAACTTCCGCCCCGCCTTGTGCGGGTAATCATAACATAATCATAGCTACCATAAACCAACTAACGTAAAGTTGGTACCAGTAGTACCGCACAAGGCGGTGGCGGAAGTTTCAAAAATAGAAAACCTATAGGAGAGCTTGGTTGTTGTGAATCAGGGATGGCAGAGCGAATCCACTGATGGACCGAAAGGTGCTTGAGGTCTGCTCTCTTTCTCTCTCTTTCTCTGACTATCTACCTACCTATCTATCTTCTATGTATCCATCTATCTATCGATCTATCTCTCTCTCTCTCTCTTTCATCTAATTATTTACCTATCTATCTATCTACCTATCTATCTATCTATCTCTCTCTCTCTCTCTCTTTCCTCTGTCTATCTGTCTAGCGGTCTACCTGTCTATCTGTCTATCTACCTATCTATCTGTCTAGCGGTCTACCTGTCTATCTGTGGTGCAGTGTCATTCAATGTAATGTAGTGTAGTGTAGTGTAATGTAGTGTTGTGTAATGTAGTGTAATGTAATTTGGTGTAGTGGAGTGTAGTGGAGTGTAGTGGAGTGTAGTGGAGTGTAGTGGAGTGTAGTTGTGTAGTTGTAGTTGTAGTTGTAGTGTGGTGGAGTGTAGTGTAGTGTAGTGTAGTGTAATGTAGTGAAGTGTAGTGGAAGGTAGTGTAGTGTAGTGGAGTGTAGTGTAATGTAGTGTTGTGTAGTGTAGTGTAATTTAATGTAGTGGAGTGTAGTGGAGTGTAGTTGCGTAGTTGTAGTTGTAGTGTGGTGGAGTGTAGTGTAGTGTAGTGTAATGTAGTGAAGTGTAGTGGAAGGTAGTGTAGTGTAGTGTAGTGGAGTGTAGTGTAATGTAATGTTGTGTAGTGTAGTGTAATTTAATGTAGTGGAGTGTAGTGGAGTGTAGTTGTGTAGTTGTAATTGTAGTGTTGTGGTGTGTAGTGCAGTGTAATGTAGTGTAGTGGAGTGTAGTGTAGTGTAGTGAAGCGAAGCGGAACGACATCTGAGCCTCCAAAAGTGATCCGAACCCCTAGTGTTTTTAACATTTTGACTTCAAAATGTGCTTCGCGCCACAACGGGGTGCACTTTTTCGAGATCTGAACTTCCAAAAGTGGTCTGAACCCCTAGTGTTTTTAACATTTTGACTTCCAAATGTGCTTCGCGCCACAACGGCGTGCACTTTTTCCACATCTCAACTTCCAAAAGTCGTCCGACACTGAGGTGTTTTGTACATTTTGACTTCGAAATGTGCTTCGCGCCACAACGGTGTGCACTTTTTCCACATCTCAACTTCCAAAAGTCGTCCGAGGTGTTTTGTACATTTTGACTTGGAAATGTGCTTCGCGCCACAACGGTGTGCACTTTTTAGACATCTCAACTTCCAAAAGTGGTCCGACCACCAGGTGCTTTGTACATTTTGACTTGGAAATGTGCTTCGCGCCACAACGGCGTGCAATTTTTCATCTCTCCCGCCAGCTGGCTCCGCACCCGCCGCTTTAGCGAGCCTACTTTTCGACCCTACAGAGCCACAAATCATTGGAAAAACACAGTGTTTCGCGACTGTCCTACCTTTTCACGCATCTGCAGCTTCTTTCTTCTTACTCTTTCTCTTCTACTCTTCTTTCTTCTAATCTTTCTCTTCTCTCTGCCTCTTCCCTGCTCTGCTTTTCATCTGTCTATATTGTCGGAAGTTTGACTTCTAAACTTCCTTCGATAATTGGAATTAATTGGATATCCAATTAAGTAACTATTTGACTTGTCATGTGCTATATAATTCGTTTAAGTTGGTAACTACAACTATAGCTAATGGGTTTATGAAACAACTTATAAGTGGGGGGGGCCTTGTGGTTATTCACCCGAGTCATCAAAAACACCCTGTTTGATGTCTCCTTATCGGGAGTTATACTACTGGGAATATTAGTCATTAGTATCATACTTACTACATAAGTATGGGAATAAATAACCCACTGATGATATACCATAGTTAACACATAGAATTAGTAGAGATATAGGGGTTGACCCATAGTTGGACACATGCCAACTAACTACTAGATGAAATGTGATAGATGTATTTATTAAGGTTCACTTAACTGGTTTACAAGTGAGCAGTTACCAAAAACCCTGCGGTTTGATTGTAATAGGGTGTTCTACTGGGCAGTCGATTTCGTCTAATGGAAGTTATTGTCATCTAGTATGGGAACACCTATCAACCAACCAGCATGTGGTGATGATTATTTCGTTTGCGAGTTGATTTATGCACGCAGTGAAGCACCAGCTGAGCTCGTCAATCTGCCGCAAGTTCAAAGGGCTGGATACAAAGGATCTTCGCATATACATCGGTGTGCTCACAGAAGGATGTGTTCGAGTGAGCAGCATCACCAGGGTGGTTGTGACTACAATCCCATATATCAGGTCAAGACTACGAGCAAGGGCTCCCCGGAACTCGGGCCTGGCACTTGTTGTTGAAGACGAGGCTGACTACGACAGTGAAGCATACCATGACGTATGGGCAGAGATTGGAGTCTGGCTAAGCCCGGGGATGAGACGATCCCCACTTCGCCCTCGAGGAGGACAGATACCAATCATTCTGAGCACTGCCACACCATGCCACGACCCTCGCCCACCGCTCCAATCGTGGGACATGGTGCCCTCAACACACGACGAGCAAGAGGTAACAAAGATTGACGTTGGGAAGGGCAACCCAGCAGAGAGGCTTTTATTGACAAGCACCTTATCATGTGTGTCTGCATGTCTATGGCCCCGAATTGCAAGTCGTTTTGCAAAACCATGTCAGTGACCAGTTGACGCTGGTTGGTCAGTTATTTTAGTGGAGGTGCATTTGGGGTTATTGATGGGTACAACCATGATACCCCAGGGTAAACCAACATAGATGTGGAAAATTGCCACATTTTATGGATGCATTACCTATTAGATGGTGATTTTCCACATCTGTTTTAGTTTGCCCCAGGGTAACAACCACCGGAACTTGGGAAGTAGGTGGTTATACTACAAGTTGGGGCCCTCCAGTTTTAAGTGGAGTTATAAACCCGATTTACACAGTTATACTTACCATAAACCCAATAGTTCTTGGAGTTTTTCACGTTCAACGTTCGCGAGCTATCGTCTTATGGGGGCCCATGGGAATCCCAGCAATCCGTCCGTTTCAAGGGCTGAGCTCTCGGCAGGATCGTCTTCCGGAGCGTTTGGGACCCGTGGTCTGCCAACATCGGTTGAGGACTAAAGCAAGGTGAAACCCCCAAATGAAAACCTGGTTATATACTGTAACTGTTGGGTTTAGTAGGGGGATATAACTGTAGTAAATTTGTTCATAAGCCAACCATATATATATATATCCTGGAGTAGATACCACCTGGGATTTTAAAATATATTCCTAATTAATTAATGTTTTTCGACATGTCCATATTTTATATTCTCCAGGATTCCAGGATGAATACATATATGTATATATATATATACATATGTACATACGTATACATACATATTAGTGAATATATTGATTTATTGGAGTTAGGTACGGAAAAAGGTGGATTTACCTCCAATGACTTGATACTTAAAATTAATGAATTACTTTACTTCGCGTGATCCCCACCATGACATTTATACATTTTGTTACTCGCAAATCTTCTGGCATTCTATCTGACATATCTTCTGGCATTCTATCTGGCATATGTTTTGGCATATCTTCTGGCATTCTATCTGGCAAATCTTCTGGCATTCTATCTGGCATATCTTCTGGCAAACATTCTGGCACTTTATCTGGCATATCTTCTGGCATTCTATCTGGCGTATCTTCTGGCATATGTTCTGGCATGTCTTCTGGCATATCTTCTGGCATTCTATTTGGCATATGTTCTGGCATTCTATCTGGCATACCTTCTGGCATTCTATCTGACATATCTTCTGGCATTCTATCTGGCATACCGCTGGCATATTCTGACATATCTTCTGGCATTCTATCTGGCATATGTTCTGGCATATCTTCTGGCATATCTTCTGGCATTCTATCTGGCATATCTTGTGGCATTCATTCTATCTGACATTCCATCTGGCATTCTATGTGGCAAATCTTCTGGCATATGTTCTGGCATATCTTCTGGCATACCTTCTGGCATTCTATCTGACATTCTATCTGGCATACCTTCTGGCATTATATCTGGCATATCTTCTGGCATTCTATCTGGCATACCTTATGGCATTTTATCTGGCATATCTCATGGCATTTTATCTGGCATATCTTCTGGCATTCTATCTGACATTCTATCTGGCATCTCTTCTGGCATTCTATCTGGCCGTTGAGGTCTAGCGGTGCGCACTGAGCTGGGCAGGTCCCAGGTTGAGGTCCAGCGGTGCACACTGAGCTGGGCAGGTCCCAGGTTGAGGTCCAGCGGTGCACACTGAGCTGGGAAGTTGGCAAAGAGCTTGGCGCAGAGAGTCGGCGAAGAGAGTTGGCAAAGAGCTGGGCGAAGAGTTGGCAAGGCGGAAGTGCAGGTGGAAGTTGATGCAGACATGGTCGAGGAGAAACTGGAGGAGGAGGCGAGGAGGAGGACGAGGAGGAAGAGGACAGCTAGTCGAGGAGGAGGAGGAGGAGGATGACGAGGAGGAGGACGAGGACGCGGAGGAAGAGCACTCTGATAAAATCTAACAACCCTCACCTGGCAGGTGGGGAAATAGATTATTATTACTTAAGCATGGCTTATAACTTATTATGGTGGTTAATAACAGCCATATTAGGAATGTTTTAGGGACTTCGCAATTTTGAACTACTTGGGGGAGAATGATGCAATATGATACCACAACAATAATGGGATATATATATATACAGTATATATATATAACCAAACATCTTGGTCATGCCCCCAATAAAGGATGGGAACAACCATCAGAAATAACGGTTTTACGTGGTTATTAGGACTTGCAGGGAAACTGATGAAAAGTTGGTGAACATCTGCTCATGTTGGCCATTAAAAAGGTGGGTAAACCCTCTTCTGATTGGCAAACTTGGTAAATTTGGTCAGTTTCTAGCCACTTTGACGGACAGTCTACTGCGATGTGCATCCCGTAGTTTTTGAATGGTTTCACAAATACGCATCGCTGCATAACCCAGAAAACCCGTATGAAATCTCATCTCCGATCATATTGTACGATTATATAAATACCACCAACGTTAAGGATAATACCAATTCATTAGTAGATGCAATACATTTACCCAGGATTTTGTTTCCTGGGTGTTCAGTCTTAGAGGTAAGGGATTGTTGGTACAACCTCACTACGACGTGACTAGAAATGGTGGATAGTAAGGCTATAATTATCCCGAAATGGTGAATTGCGTTCTGGTATAATGTAACCTAGCTGTGGGAAATTACCATTTAAAGTTCGGTAAATGATCCTAATTCATGAAAAAATTGGCCATGGCTTACATCGCTATGTTAAATTACCAGAGGGACATCATCATCATCATCATCATCACCATCAGCATCATCAATAAATCACAAATTCCATGAGTTGTGATATCAGTAAATCAATATCCAGTAATTTGTGGTGATTACCAGAGGGACATCATAAATCAACGTCCAGGTCTGTCACCATGGGCAGCCTGGCGCCAGCCGCCACTTCCAAGGTGCGAACAACTCGAATCAGCCAACAGCAGCATCGGGGAGTGGGGCTGCCATCATTTATGGCTGAAGAGGTTGGCGTGTTCCGCTGAGGAAAAAACTGGAGAAATGATCAAGCATGTTCCGTCGAAATCCGGTAGTTACCCTCTCGTAAACTAACATAGCTGTGGAAGATTGAACAAATTGAATAGGTAAATCAACTATAAACCGCCATTTTCAATAGCTATGTTAAATTACCAGTAGTTAATTTAATCATCATGATGTCCCCCAAAAAAATGACGGTTTCAAAAAGGGGGATATGCCATGGGATATCCCATGCCCTATTTTCGGACTAACCCATGTATTGGTGAATTATAGCCAGTTACAATGTTTAAATGCTGTTTCACCATCAAGAAAGGGGATTTAACTGATGTCATGAGAAATTTGTTTTGGTGGCAATGTGGGAATATCATGAGGGTAGAACGGGAGATGTAATGGGAAGATAATGGAGATCATGAGATCATCTGGATAATTTATGGTCTCTTTGCGGCATCACCGCATCATCATGCTTAGGATAGGGCCACGAACCCCAATTGGCGCTGAAAGGTGCAACATTTCAGGTTGATGAATTATCATAAGTTATATTATCTGTTTGGTGGTTTCAAACATGTTTTATTTTCCATTTCATATATGGGATAATCCTTCCCATTGACGAACTCATAGTTTTCAAGATGGTTAAAACCACAAACCAGCTATAAGTTATCCAGAATGATGAATCATGATGAACCTCTTAGCCGCCCCAGATAATGATCAAAAACTACGGATAGTACATAAGCATATATAACCTGAATTTGCTGAAGATGATTGTTCATTCCCGCAATGGGAAATCCACTGTTTGGGGCAAGAATGGGGAAATATGATCGGAATATGTTTTACGCTTGGGGGGGTTCCTTAAGCAAATCCAAAAATAAATTGTCACCATGTTATCGTGCAAATTTATAGAATTTACAATATTTTACTATTTTTTATCCATGTTTATTCAAATTATCCCACAATTAAATCAAAAAAATAAGAACATGTTGCTGATAAGTTGATCACCCTGGTTACTAAGTCCACATTCACCCAGGCTTATCCCATTTGTGACTGGGGAACTCGGCCCAGTTGTGAAGGGCCACGGACAGTCGAGGAGTCATGGGATAATCCTCGCAGAACTGGTCAGGTAAAGATTCGTTCCTCATCAGCAGTGGATTTATCCTCTGGTAAATTAACATAGACCCTGAAAATAGCATAAAATAGCCTAATTTTAATGGAAACTAATCTTCCAACCCCTATCTGCCAGGGTCTATGTTAATTTACCAGAGGGTACCAGTTGTTAATAATGGGATAAGCCATCATCAGTGGATCCTCATTTCAATAATGGAAACGTGGGTTTACCACAACTGGTAATTCACAAGGGTCTTGTTTCCTCACAAAAGATTGGTGAGAAACGATCATTTCTCCAGGCGCTGGAGGCAGGAAAAGTGGCTGGTGGTTTAACGGTTGATTTTGGCCCAAGAGATCTCACTTGTGGAAAGAACGAACAACTTGCGGGGGCGTTTAACCAAAAACAATAACGATTTATAGGGATATTGGGATATAATGATATAATGGGACTATCTGACTATCTGGATATACTGAGATAAACTGACCTACTTAAAGTGGTACTTTGTTCGTCAACTATATATATCGAACATCACCATGTTGAGTTTGGTAAGTCATCTATAGAATAGGACTTGTTCCATAGCAAAGTGTTCAACTACCGGTCACCAGTTCAGTAGGAAGACACCTTTGGAACTTCGTTTGATCTTCCAGGCGAACTGAACCACGTTTGATGAAACCCGAGCTAACTGTCTACAGTTAGATGGTTTGTATATGTACAAATTTGTAGTAATTCATACCTTGAAAATCCTTGAAAAATAACTATGGATAATCCCAACTGATCTACTTAGCTATAGCCTATAGCATCTATAGCCATAATCAGCATAAACCCTATATAGACCTTTTATCACTTTTGATCCAACCACCAGCCACAGGATCCGTTACTTTCAAAATCTCTGCAGCGAGTAAAGGCCTCGCTGCGGCCGCGATGCCCCGGGCTGGCTGGACGAGACGCCGCGAAATGCGTTGGACCAACTGGGTATGTTTCTTCATGAAGCCTTCAATAATGTGGTTTATGATCGGCAATTAGTGGTTTATCCGTGTTTATCCCACATCATTCCGTGATGGATCATGATGGTTTATTAATCAATTGTGTGCTGTAAATGAGAATGTATTTATCACACCACATAGTTTTTTGGGAATATTGAAGATTGGCCATGAAATGCTATGGATGTTGTAGTTTTTTCTGGAGAATTGCCCGGTTTAGCTGCACGTCTATGCAACTATGATAAGGATACACAATCAAGTAGCTTCCCACTAGGATTTCTAAGCCCCTCATAGAGGTTGAAGTAATGCCCTACTGGACTTCACTAAACGTTGTAAATGATGTTAGCAAGTAGTACATTATAAGTGATAAGTTATTGTAAGTGGTATACAAACCATCAAACTGTAGATATACCCTTTGGTAATCAATTGTGGCAGTGGGATATCCTATATAAGAGAGGTCAAAAGCTGGGAAAATCCACAAACGAAACGGGATTAATGTTTCATTGCTACGTTCCATTGATACATTGTGACTTATTGATTACCACTTGGGCATACATTACCAGATGCTAAGTTATATATATTGTGTTATTATGAGGTGGTATAGAAACCATCTAACTGTAGATTACACACATGAATTATTTTGCTTCGGGGCCCTGGGTCCCTTCCTGCACTTGGATCAAAAGAATGAGGGGAACATGGGGCTAAACAAAGGTGCCCCTCATTTAACCCCCAACAGTAAGGTGTACTCTCCAAGAATAGTAATAATATGTAATAACAAGACATTACTACCCTCTGGTAATTTAACATAGCTATTGAAAATTGTCATTTATAGTTGATTTTCCCATTAAAAATGGTGATTTTCCATAGCTATGTTAGTTTACCAGAGGGTAACAAGGGTCGGAAGTCGGATGAGATCGTCCATGAAGTGCGGCGTGACTTCACAGATCTTCACAGCGTATCACGCGACTGATCTCCCACCAGGATCAGTGGCATCGCGGAGAAATTTTGATCCTGTCCTGTTTCGGGCGAAAAGGGCCAGCGAGCGCAATGTGATCTGGACTAATGGACCTGTGGTCCAAGTTAGCGATGGCTTCACGGATGATTTTGTTCCTGATAGAATGTGTGTTCTCGTGTTTGTTTTGGGCAGTGAAAAAAAGTATTTGTGCATGTATATATATATACATATATATATATGTAGATATTCATATATTGATATAATGATGTATATGTGTTTACATGGTGTGTATATTGTGCTGTATTGCACTGTAGCTCAGGATCCAAAAGAAGCCGGAAAACCAAGAATGAAGGTGAATGAAACCAATCATTCCCACTGAATCGCAGCAAATTTGTGACAGAAGTAGCGAATCAGATAGCGCTCGATTCAAAAATCATAGTGAATCATCCCAAACCCAAGATGGCAAGTGAAACAAACCGCACAAAGAAATGACCTATTCCAACTGAAGGCCAAAAGGCTCCACGGATTGGAAAACGATAGGGGACGTCCTAACTTTCAAGGGAAGACACACCTCCACAACAATATTATAGAGCTTGCCTCATATATATATATGGTACCCCCCCCAAAGATCTACCTTTTTTAAGGTAGATTTGAGAGGGGGTGGACATAACTATAAAACATATATCTATACCATAGACTAAGGCATGTGCAAATTCAAACTAAATTCCAAGTACTTAGAGCAACTTTGTCGCCACAAGCGTTTGCATACGTTTGCAAACGAGACTGGGCTGGATTCAAGATTCAAGATTCAAGATTTTAAGAAAGTTCTTGAATCCAGAAGGTTGGATTCAAGATTGAAGATTTTAAAAAAAGTTCTTGAATCCAGAGGGCTTGGATTCAAGACTCAAGATTTTAAAAAGTTCTTGAATCCAGAGAGCTAAATTCAAGATTCAAGATTCAAGACCTAGAAGAAAGTTATTGAATCCAGCCCTCTGGATTCAAGAACTTTTTTTAAATCTTGAATCTTGAATCCAGCCCAGTTTCGTTTGCAAACGTTTGCAAACGCTTGTGGCGACAAAGCTGCTCTAAGTACCTAGTCCTTAGATCAACATGCATCACAGACACCGCTTGCAAACGTTTGCAATCGATGGACCCAAAGGCTGCCAAGATATCAATCCCGCATTCTCTACAACACTCTTCACTGGATCTGACTTTTGCTGTATGCAGCTGCTAAGTACCTAGTCCTTAGATCAACATGCATCACAGACACCGTTTGCAAACGTTTGCAATCGATGGACCCAAAGGCTGCCAAGATATCAATTCAGCATTCTCTACAACACTCTTCACTGGATCTGACTTTTACTGTATGCAACTGTCTTTGCTTGCCCTGAGGCTCTGCGACCTTGAGCTCCGAAGATCTCCTGCTGCATCTGGCGCCTTGTCTGCAGAAATTTTGGCTACACGGCAAAGTTTCAAAGTATCTAGTCCTTAGATCAACATGCATCACAGACACCGTTTGCAAACGTTTGCAATCGATGGACCCAAAGGCTGCCAAGATATCAATTCAGCATTCTCTACAACACTCTTCACTGGATCTGACTTTTACTGTATGCAACTGTCTTTGCTTGCCCTGAGGCTCTGCGACCTTGAGCTCCGAAGATCTCCTGTTGCATCTGGCGCCTTGTCTGCAGAAATTTTGACTACACGGCAAAGTTTCATTCGGCATATCGTTCCGAATAGCCCGCATCACAGCCATTTTCTTTGCCCAGCCTTTCTCTATAGTCATCCGTGTCACTTCTCCATGTCCATGAAAGTGCAGGGAACTGTGCAGATCACCAATGGTGCGGCTCTTTTGCAACTGACACCGGTGGCGCCTAGAAGGGACATGAAGCCACGACCAAGTCCGGAGGACATCGCGGGCAAGGTCAAGGCGGGCATCATCCACGTGCATCCATCAAGACTGCCAGTGACTAGGGAAATGGTAAACTCATCCCTGACTGTTGTCCAGAGGAAGCTGA